GACCCGGCCCCGAGCTCCGTCCGCAGCAGCACAGGCGCCTCGGGAGCTGCTGACTCGGGAAAGAGAAACCACGGACAGACGGACAGACGGACAGATGGATGGACGGACAGACAAGCAGCGACCGGACAGGGAACCTGTGCCTCTGGGGGGAGGCTGGGAGGCCTTTTCGTTTTTATTTATTAAATTCATTGTTACTATTATTATGAATATGTTTTTATTGGTTTCAGAGAGGGAGGGAGAGAGAAACATCCATGAGGAGAGAGACCCATGGATCCGTCGGGGCCTCCTGCGCCCCCCCCCGGGGATGAGCCCGCAACCCGGGTGCCCTGACCTCCTGGTTCACACGTCGATGCTCAGCCCCTGAGCCCCGGGCTGGGCTGAACTTATTACTTTTAAGTGAAGAATTCTCTTCTTCCATGAGCATCAGCGTTTCTTCCAACAGGTGCTCAGCCCACCTGCCAGGCCCTGGTCTAGGCACTGGAGGCCACAGGCGTGAACAGAGAAAGAGGGATGTCCAACTGCCAGTTTAGGATCAGGCCTAAACCGGCAGTCGGACATCCCTCTCACAATCCGGGACCACTGGCTCCTAACTGCTCACCTTCCCGCCTGCCTGGTCACCCCTAACTGGCCCCCCTGCCAGCTTGATCACCCCTAACCACCTCTGCCTGCTGACTTGATCGCCCCTAACTGCCCCCCCTGCCGGCCTGGTCGCCCCCCTCAGCCTGTTCCATCGTCCGTTCGGTTGTTTCGGATGTGACGGCCCCTGGCTCTTTCTATATAGATAACTAAATAGTTACATTTAAATTGCTCTAATTAGTAACTAAAATGGACCTTTAAACTTTGAGAGATTGAGAATTACAACAGACCTAACCCTAAAACCAGATTCCACCATTAAAATACACGTTGGGTGTATTTCCTCCCAAAATGAAGGAGGCAGAGCTGGTTCGCTCCGCGGAGCTCCTGTCTCCTTTATGGTGTCCCTCCAGCACCAGCCTCACCAGGGGGTGAGCCAACACTGAATTCTGGGTCACGGTGGACACCCCTCCAAAGCTAAACCGGGGAAGCCCCCGACTTCAGTCTAAACACTTTTTAATCCCGTGAGGAATGGGGCCAGGGACACCCAGTCGGGTGATGCGAAGCCCGACATGAGCTCGCGGCCTAAAGCTCATGGCGTTGCTGCTGACCATGTGCCCTGAGAAGGGGCGTCAGCCCCCGTCTGTGAGGCAGGAGGCCTGGGAGACGCCGGACGCCCGCCCCCCGGACGGTGCTCGCGTGGACATGCCTGGGCCATTTCCGTTTCCTCCTGCGGCTCTGTTATCGGGTTACCTTCTCGGTGCCTCCCTCCCCGAGACCGAGGATGTCCAGGTCGAAGTCCTTCCTCAGGCCGTCCGTCTTGTTGAAGGCGATCCTCCCGGTCAGGCCATCCCACTGGGCCTGCGGGGAGGAGGGCGTGGTCATCACACTGCCCAGTCCCGACACCATCACCCTGAAGTCCTCAGCCACCTGCCGGGTCCTGACCCGCGGCCGCGTCAGCGAGCTGAGCCGGTAGCTCGCACTCTGGTGACACAGCTCCTGGATCTGTCCTCTCACAGGCCAATCCCCGTCTGTAACGGGCCAACCCCAACCCGCGGCCCCAGTGACCGCCCGGCAGTGCCCACAGCGAGCCCCACGTCTCTGAGGCCACAGGACCCGCTTCCCACGGTCCGACTCCCTGGGAGCCCCCCGTATGTTTCTCTGTGAAACAGTGCAGCTCAGTGAGGCGACGCTGAGTGGTTAGGGTGCTTTTTAGGGTGACCTAGGCCTTCCAACCTCACGTGTCCATTCTGTCAACTTCCTGGGGCTGCGCTAGCAAATGCGCTTGGTGGCTTAAGACATCGAAATCTGTTCTGTTTTGGAGCCAGAAGAACCTCCAAATCGTATCACCAGGCGAATCCAGTGCCGGGGCGTGTCCCTGTGGGACTCAGGGAGCTGGCTCTCCCACCTCCTCCTGCTGGTGGCTGCCCTGGGGCGGGGGGGGGGCTGCGTCCCTCCTGCATCTGCCTCTGGGGTCACATCCCGCCCCCGGGGCTGCAGGGAGGGCGACAGTCCGGGAAAGTCTCCCATCTCCCGGCTCTTCGCTGACTCATCCACGCAGTCCTTCCTGCCCCTGAGGAAACATGTACAGGTTTGGGGGGCTTTGGGGGTGTCTTTTGGGGCCACTGTTCAGTCTACCCCACGTACCAGCCCATTTAAGAACCAGCCTCCCAGCAGCCCGCCCGTCCCACACACTCGGGCGGCTCTGGTGGCTTCGTTCAGTAGAACGTGGTGGCCCTGCAGGCGCTGGGGCTTCGTCCTTACATGATGTTGGGGGGCCCTGTCCAAGTGGGGTTCACTCACAGCGAGGGTGAGGGGGAACTGGGCCCCCTGTGTACCCTGAGCTGTTTCTCTCCCTCCTGAGTGACCGGAAGGCCTCGGAGCCTGTGAGACGGAGCGGAGACCCAGGCGGTCTCACCTTGTTCCCGGCCGGGAGGGGGGTGCGGGGAGCGGGTGGTGGCCATGAGGCCGCGGTGAGAGGTCAGGCGGGCGCCCAACCTGCAGCTGGTCCCTCAGCTCCCACGTCCGCCCAGCAGGACCCCCGAGACGCACACGGCACCCGCACACCGAGAGCGCTGACAACGTCGGCAACACTGACTGCGCTCCTCCCTCTCCCTCCCCGTCAGCTCCACGCAGCCTGTCCGACTCGCCTGGACTGAGGCTCCATCCCCAGCACATCCCCAGGCTCATGTGGTTCCCCAGCACAAGCACCCACGGGTCCGAGCCCACCGCTCAGTCCGCACCCACTCACGCTTGAGGTCGGGGCGCTGTTTCAGCGGCAACGGGACGGGGCGCCTCCCATTCTTAGGGACGAGCCCAACCTGCAGCTGGTCCCTCAGCTCCCACGTCCGCCCAGCAGGACCCCCGAGACGCACAGGGCACCCACACACCGAGAGCGCTGACAACGTCGGCAACACTGACTGCGCTCCTCCACCTCCCGTCCCCTCAGCTCCACGCGGCCTGTCCGACTCGCCTGGACTGCGGCTCCGTTCCCAGCACAACCTCGGGTTCGTGTGGTTCCCCAGCACAAGCACCCACGGGTCCGAGCCCACCGCTCAGTCCGCACCCACTCACGCTTGAGGTTGGGGCGCTGTTTCAGCGGCAACGGGACGGGGCGCCTCCCATTTTTAGGGACGATGGTTGACCTGCTGCCTTGGCTCACGGCATCGCCTGGGAGCGGGCACTGGGCTCAGGCATAGCCTGGGAGCGGGCACTGGGCTCAGGCATCGCCTGGGAGCGGGCACTGGGCTCAGGCATAGCCTGGGAGCGGGCACTGGGCTCAGGCATCGCCTGGGAGCGGGCACTGGGCTCAGGCGTCTCCTGGGAGCGGGCAC